CATCACTGGAAAAAGATAAAAGCAGAAACATCATCAACCTAATAGTTAGTACCTTTGAGACTATCAACAACCTCAGCAGGAAACCCCGTCCAATCATTTGGTAACTCAGTCGGCAACCCATCTTTAAACCCAAGATCTGCATGCATGTTGCTGTGAGAAACAACACCGAAACAAACCAACCAAATGAAACAAAAAAGGAACCCCGACTGGGCATACTAGCACCTGTAACACCATGGCGACAAAGAGGCCTAAGCAACTTGCACCTTTTCCGATTTCTAGTCGACATGGCAGGAGGGAGCACTGGGAACCAACCATCCCCTAGGGAACTGACAGAGTCAATGCAAATGAACAAGCGCGTGCTAAACAAGACGCAAGTAAATAGCTGCACAAGACAACATACTCTTTCTCTTATGAACACCCGAGCATCAACAGTAGGAGCATGCAAAACATGGCGATGACGAGCCATCATGAACAAAAAGCACAAATGAATGCAAATACTGCATGTTCAGATAAAACAAAGGTAAAGCCAACAAAGATAAACACCCACCGAGAGCAGGGGAGACAAGAAAACTAATTAAACAAACTATAATTCATGTATAGGAAGAGGTAATTATTACAAAGACATCCAAGCTAACAATACAACAACTCTGACACGGCCTAGCTAACACACTCCTAGCTAGACCCTAGAACCCACATGCCGAATTAACCAACTGTGAATACAACAATTGAAGTTGAACACTCACATTTACAGAAGCAGTGTTGTTTGTCCACCTGCATGCACCAAAGGCCAGGCAGACTGAGAAAGTGCCCCTGCAAGCACCACAGTCGACTATGCAAAACCTTTATATGCTAACATGCTCTCATAATTATAATCTACTATAACAAACCATACATCCCTTGCAAAAATCAGACTGCCATAAAAGTAACCCGATCATACAAAGAGGAGCAGCGGTTAAACAAACTGCCCTAGAAAAAATATGTTTGACATTGTACTACATCATCCCTAATAAGAACATGAATCTCAACCCCTCCAAGCAGAGAACCATCGGACGCCACCTCTCGAACATAGGAATGGAATGGCTCGACAGTAGGTCACAACGGCCTCAAATAGAGGCACACAAGAAGAATGAAGAATAAACATGCCTGTAAAAATTAGTCATTAAGGAACAACCAAGAAAATAGCAACACATATGATGTCTACTACGCAACCTTCTTCTTATAGACTCGTGTTGGGCCTCCAAGCGCAGAGTTTTGTAGGACAGTAGCAAATTTCCCTCAAGTGGATGACCTAAGGTTTATCAATCTGTGGGAGGCGTAGGATGAAGATGGTCTCTCTCAAACAACCCTGTGACCAAATAACAAAGAGTCTCTTGTGTCCCCAACATACCCAATACAATGGTAAATTGTATAGGTGCACTAGTTCGGCGAAGAGATAGTGATACAAGTGCAATATGGATAGTAGATATAAGTTTTTGCAATCTGAAAAATAGAAAAACAGCAAGGTAACAAGTAATAAAAGTGAGCGAAAACGGTATTGCAATGCTTGAAAACAAGGCCTAGGGTTCATACTTTCACTAGTGCAAATTCTCTCAACAATGATAACATAATTGGATCATATAACAATCCCTTAACATGCAACAAAGAATCACTCCAACGTTTCTATCGGAGAATGTAGGACAAAAACGTGCATCAACCCCTATGCATAGATTACCCCAATGTCACCTCGGGAATCCGTGAGTTGAGTGCCAAAACATACATCAACTGAATCAATAGAACATCCCATTGTCACCACAGATTTCCCATCGCAAGACATACATCAAGTGTTCTCAAATCCAATACTCAATCCAACATAACGAAACCTCAAAGAGCAAGACTCAATTCATCACAAGAAGGTAGAGGGGGAGAAACACCATATGATCCAACTATAATAACAAAGCTCGCGGTACATCAAGATCGTGCCAAATCAAGAACACGAGAGAGAGAGAGAGAGATCAAACACATAGCTACTAGTACATACCCTCAGCCCCGAGGATGAACTACTCCCTCCTCGTCATGGAGACCGCTGGGACAATGAAGATGGCCTCCGGTGATGGTTTCCCCCTCTGACGGGGTGCCGGAATGGGCTCCCAATTTGTTTTTCGTGGCTACAGAGGCTTATAGTGGCGGAATTTCCGATCTAGGTTTCTTTTCGGAGGTTTATGTATTTATAAGAATTTTTGGCGTCGGTCTCACGTCAAGGAGGTGCCCGAGTTGCCCACAAGCCCGGAGCCCCCGTGGGGTAGGGCACACCTAGAGGGCTTGTGGACTCCTCGTCCACTTCCGGGCCCAACTTTTGTGCTTCGGGGGTCTCTTTTGGTCCATAAAAATCACTGTAGATTTTCAGCCCATCCCGAGAACTTTTATTTCTGCAAGAAAAATGACACCACGGTAGTTCTGCTGAAAACAGCGTAAGTTCGGGTTACTTCTAATCAAATCATACCAAAACCATATAAAATTGTTGTAAACTGGCATGCATACTTCATAAATTATAGATACGTTGGAGACATATCAGCACACCGCACAAAGGAAAAGTATGAGCATATGTAGTACAAAAAAACAAGGATAAGGGCATAACAAGCAACATGACAATAAGCAATGCATGACTCACCATGTGAAACCGGTGGCAACGCAACCAGTCCGCAAGCACCAGTAGCACAACAGACTTGGAGAGCTCACTTGTAAACTGAAAGAACTGTAAGTGACAAGTGCACATAATCACAAAAACAAAGAAGCAACAGAATAAGCATATACGAGAGTGCCAAACAAAAACATCTAGACCAGACGGACATAACAAGCATGAAATCCATCCAGGAGCACATGCACATCATGTATAAACACATGACACAGCCCATAAGCACACCCAGGAGCACCCCACCCCAAAAACAACAGCAAACATACTCTAGCGAGCCCACAGACAACATTCTCTTCCTAGCCAACCACACGAGCCACACAACAACATGAACCCAAGCAATGATTAGTTAAAAACAAGCCAAGACCAAACCATACCAACCGAGGCAAATCAAACCATCCTAAAGAAGACAATGACCAGACCATTCCTCCCATTATATCTCACAAAGTCACTGGACCAATCCAAAAGTAGTAGAACATTCAAAAAGATGCATCATGTAGCAGACAAATCCAAAAGGAACATCCCATGCATCCACGCCTTCCTAACCACAACCACCACCAACTCATGCTCACAGAAAGGGAAAACCTCAGCCTCAGCAAAATCTAAAAAAGAAGGAAAAAAACACAAGCCTGCCACCCATAAACAAACAAACAAAAAAGGAACGAAACCCACAAAGATCCAACCAGAGACAAAGACATGCCCTGGTTCTGCCACAATAACATACGAAGACAACAAAGGAATGCGTCGCTTTGTCACCGTGCACACCTACCCCAACGACACGCACACCATATGAAGCCCAACAATCCATACACACAGGCACATGACTGTGAACGAAAGCACACAAAGAAACCTAAAAACAAAGAAAAAATGAAAGAGGGTCAACCTCCAGATCCCTGGAGCAATACGCGCAGACCAGCATAGTCCCAACGACGAATAGGCGAAAAGATCAAGCAGGAGCAGCTACAAAGAAAGGCCCATGCCACAAAAATGTCAAAAGCTCAATCGGGTCAAGCAAATGATGAAAAATTAGGCCAGAAGAAATACCTTCCCATAGATCGACGAACGACGCAACCAATCCAGGCCCAGCGACGAGAAGAACGAATCTGCAAGCAATGGACACACAAGATCCAAAACCAGCTAGGCATCACAAATCGAACGCATAAAAGGTGAAAGAAGCGGGATGAGAGCCACCTTAACCGGACTTGCCGCTACACGACGCCATCGTTCTTCGCTAGCAACCAACCAACCCCAGCGACGACTCGCAGGCCAGCAAGTAGGACGATGCAGCGCAGGAAGTGGAACCGAGACGAAACGAAATGAAAGGAAGAGGGAAGGAGAAGAGGCGGACAACGACGCGGGATAAGGGAGGCCACCCACCCACCACCACCCACGCCACCGAACAGTGTTGGGCCACTCGAACGAATC